CACCCTGGTGTGGTGTGAGAGGCTGTGTCTGGGTATTACTGTTGATACTGGTGGCTTTTTCACGGAGGAAGAAGGGGATGATTCAGGGCATGGACCTTTACGCAGGAAACATTTGTTTAAGAAATTATGAAGAGGTTTTCCTTCTTGGGTGTTGTCTTCTGTATTTTGCCTTCGTGGAGGTTTTCTCCACCCCTTCCCTTCCAGAGGAAAGGCAAAAGAAAGGCCCACTTGAAGCAAGCAGGGAAAATGGTTTCAAGTCTTCCCACTTAAGCGTGAGCACCTCTCTGCCACAACAGGAGCTAGGCTTAAATCCAGAAAGATCTATTGTGTCTGGGGAGACCTTATAGCACCGTCCAGTACCCCAAGGGGGCCTACAGAAAGGTTGGAGAGGGACTTCTGACAAGAGCATGTGCTAGGACAAGGGGCAATGGCTTTAAAGTGAAGGAGGGTAGATTTAGGTTAGGTATTAGGAAGGAATTCTTTACTGTGAGGGTGCTGAGGCACTGGAAGAGGTTGCCTAGAGAAGCTGTGGATGCCCCCATGCCTGGAAGTGTTCAAGGCCAGGCTAGGCGGGGCTCTGAGCAACCTGGTCTGGGGGAAAAGATGATTTTTTTAACGTCCTTTTCAACCCGTAGAATTCGGTGCTGCCGCTAGGGAGCACTGCGGGATCGGGCGGGAGGGAGCGACCGAGGAACGAGGAGAGCCGCTGGAAATGCAGAACGACCCGTTGGATCTCTGCGAAAGGGTGGCTCGTTCTTTCACAGATCGCAGTGCTGGGCTACGGAGGCGCAGCACGAGAGCTGCATCTTCAGCCTGCGGTCAGAATTTGGACGGACAACCAGCCACGTCCAGGGGCATGTGATTAACAGGCACACACTGCGTTTCAGTGCTTTCGCAAACTCTGTGGAAGGTGGTGTGGAGAGGAGAGGGTTGGAAAAAAAGAATCATTTTCAAGGCTACAAAGCTCAGATCCCGTTGTTTGCCACACAAGCTGTATCCTGGCTTCTTTGCATTTTCTGTGTTGTGTCAGTGCAAACCTCAGGATGTCCAAGGGAGACGCAATCACAGCCATGCTCAACACCCCAGGTCCATCCAGATGGACTGAATTTCAGGCAGGGGGTCTGGGCAAGTGGCCGTTCCACCTGCCAGATGTGGATGAGCCCTCACCTGGAATACCGGGTCTATTAGAGTAACCTAGTACAAAAAAAGACATTCTTATGAATGAGTTCAGCTAAGGCCATTGAGAGCTGGTGCACAGGACAGGCTGAGGGAATTGGGTTTGTTCTCGTGGAGAGTAGGTGAGCATGGAGTCTAACTTGCAGTCCTAAAGAGGGTTAAAGAGAAGATGGAGCTGGAGTCTTCTCTGAAGTGCAAGAGGCAAGGAACTAAAGCTGTGCTGAGAGTAAGTCTGGTGGGAAAGAAGGAGAAACCTTCTTTGCCTGAGAATGGGACAGCCCTGGGATGGGAAAAAGGGAAGGGTGATCTCACATCTTGGAAATTATCAACAATTGTTTGGAGAAAGCCCAAAGTAGTCTGGTCAGAGCTAGCCATGCTTTGAGCAGGAGTTGGATTCAAGATCTCCAGAGACTTCTCCTCATTTAACTTTTTCTAAAGTTATATGATTTCCTAGTGAAACAGGAGAGTGAGGCCAGGTGGTGGAGTACTAGAGCTGGACACACAGCCCCAGTCTCTCAGCCCTGGTAGTTTTAGAGGGGTATTTATTGAAATGGTGAACACAGAATGGGAAGGATCAGAGCTAACAAGCTCTGAGCAGGAAATGGTGGCCAAAGAGGGAGTGGGTATTTGCAGTCTCCAGGATTTACTGCTTAAAGTCAATATTAGTAAATTAATCAGCAAGTTTTTCTTATCTCTGCAAGACCAGGCTGCTGTGGGAATGGCTTTTCACTGAGCTTCGGTAGCCTCTGGCCCTAAGTTGCTTGCCCACTTCTTTCTGCTGAGGCTTAGCTATGACTTCACTTCTACTAAGGACCAGAAGACCTTCCTGGCTCAAAACATCACCCATGAGCAACAACCTGCCACAAATCACCCCTGACTTTCTGCAGACGTGGGGGACCCTGTGCCACAAGAGCAATTAGAGAAGTGGGAAGCCGGGGTGCACAAACCAAACAACTTCCCTTCTCCCATAGAGCTGGAAGCGTGTTTCCTGAAAGGATACTGAAAGGTAATTGGCAGTGGAAAGAGGAGAGTCTGGTTCTCCTGGACATGATATCAGGTTCCCTCTCCTTAGCTGTCCTGTCATAGCTGTGAGTGTCAGCACTCAGGATGTCACACTCTTCAGGATATGGGGAGAGGACCCATGGCCCTGAGATAAGCTCATGGCAGCATGTTCAGCCCTACCCAGCTGACATTAACCAACATCAAGCTGAACCTCACAAGTGAGGAGACAACCACAGTGGTCATGTCCACTACACATCACAACATGCCTTGGTTTTGTGCCTCAGGAAGCAGGACAGAGCATCCTGTCACCATATAGCACAGCAAGGATCACTGTGTCAGGCACTTACCTGGCTCCCTGTGCTGGCCCCATGGCTCAGCATCCATTTCCATGCACCCATCACCTGCTCTTCATCATAAAGAAGGCTACAGTCAATTAAAGTTCTCTGACCTCCTCCTCCGGCCTTCCTCTTCATGGCAGACCCAGATCATAGTTGTCATCCCAGAGGGTGAACATTTCTTTTGTCTGACACTCTATTAATGGCCCTGGGTAAAGACATCTCTCTTGGACTCAGGAAGGAGGGAAGGGAGGGAGAGGGTGATTTGTTGCATCAGCAAAACAGCAACTTCACTCCTCTAGATACATCCACCCTTGCCAGCCCATCCCCAGCTCTATTCAGGCAGCAGGGCCTACCTCAGAGATACATGTAGACCCCCATGTGTCCAGCTTCACACCTTATGAGCAAGAGCTCTGTTATATGTCCTCTCATCAGAGAAGGAAGCAGTGCATGGTGAGTGAAAGTGCTGATAAGGATGGCCTTATCTTTTTTCTGATAAGATTGATTGTTTGCGGGCACACCTTTTCTTAATGTCTGCCAAACAAACCAGTTAGGTAAAGAGCATGTGTAAAAGTGTGCAGTTCCTGGAATGATTCCAGGACTTCCTGGACATCAAAGGCATCTCTACAGAGATAGACAGAGATGTTTTCTTTGATTCCTGCACACCTCTGGCCACAGGGATCTCTCTAGCCCCTGCAGTGCAAGGATTGGCACTGCTGCCCACGTGTATTTCAGCAGTGAGTGTTGCTCTGTGTTCATGGAGACCTCACTCTGACAGACCTTTACCACCTCCTGCAGCTCCTCTTCACATTGGAAAAGGTGGAATATAGGATTTTTGTGCCCTCCCTAATTGATGTGAGCTGTAAGATGAGTCTAAAACCTCCCAGAAGTTTCTTCTCCCCAAAATCTAAGGAGCTTTGGGAACCAGGAGAGTCTAAATGTCTGCAGATGTGGAGTGGGCCGTGCGGCTGATTCCCCCTCCCTGTGTGCACTACGGAGGATTGGAGAGCTGGGAAGAGCCACTGGCTCTTGCTGGTCCCTACCAGGTGGGGCTCCAGCAGGTGGAAGGGTCTCCTGGCCTGCCTGGCAGCAGCCACAGCCCAGCCCCCCTGCAACGTGGTGTGGGCACCACACTCGCAGGAGGACCCCAGCACCACTTTTGTGATGGTGTTCAACCCTATCATGACCTCCTGCCTCTGGTTCCACCTCAGGCCAGTGCAGCCTCATCTGCCTTCACCCAGTGCCTTGGCCTAGGATCAGCATACCTCCCAGCCACAAGCTCCCTCCATGCTGCAGGGTTCCCACAAGGCCCCCCTGTTGTACCTTACCTGTTTGGGGTTGCAGATGAGGTTTGGGTGGTTCATGGCAGAAGGTGAGAGATCTTGCTCTGTTCCCACGAGTATCAGTTACTCAAAGAGAGAGTGAAACTTTTGTTAGCTGGTATGTCTGTGGAGACCAAAACAGTGCCAAGATACCTGTGTAGGGGGACCCATCCCTCCAGGAGCTGCCCATAGGGAGTGGGCCGCATATGCTTGGTTGCGGAGCTGCTGGATGCTTTCTGCTTTGCCACCCACCAGGTGCTGTAGAGCTTCTGGCAGTGTATCTGCAGAGGTCATCCCAGGATTCCAGCGTGGAGAGGCTGTGCTAAGAGCTGGTGAGCACTTGCCCCTCATGTGACATCCCTGGGAGCAGAGCAGGGGTGGGAGTCAAGGGTGTCCACGTGCCGTGATGCAGAGCCTGGAGAGCTCTGGGACAGCAGCAGCAACATCTCTGGAGCCATTAAAAAATCCCCCAAATCAAGAGTGATTTGGCCAGCCCTGTGCTCTGGGAGACAGGCCCTTGGTAAGTCAGGTAATGGCAATATGACTTCCACTCCACCTCAAGAGGAGAAGGACCTTCTGTGTTAGGACATTACAGGAATGTAAGAGAACCACTTTCCCTGCCATGCACACAAGCAAAGACCCCAAGACCCAAAACGTGGGGAGAGGGCAGATGCCCCATTCCTTCCTGGCTTCAGGAAAAATCCTATTTGCATGACTGGGGAGCCAGGAACACAGTGGTTGTACAGAGTGGTTCCTCTCTTTGCCCCAAATGGCATTTCCCTGACAAACGTGTATGATTCAGCCGAGTTTCAACCTGTCGCACTCAGTTGTTTTTAACCATCTTTTGTTCTCCTTACGTGGTGGCTCAGCAAGGTCAAAGTGAAGCTGCCCAGAAACTGAAAACAAAAAGCATTCCAGGCTTTAGCAAAACAATTTTATTGTTTTTTGCAGAGGAAAACTGACCTTGAGAAAGACCTTCAGAGTGAAAATAGAAGCAGAAAGGGATGTATGGCTTCAGGGATACAGGAAAAAGCCCAAGGTGTGCAGCTCCAGCTGACTAAAAATTATAGTGGGTTTCAGGTTTGCAGTGCCACTCACATTTATGCAAATCAGAAATTACTTTCAGAAGGATGGATGCTGGACTGTATGCTTAACCTGTGCTGTGGCAGGCAACTCCCAAAGGACTGCCTCTGTACAGTTGACCACACTGTAACCTGAAAGAGTCATAGAAAGCAGAGTGACAAGGAGAGTGTGGACTTTATGACTAACCAGAAAGAAGCTGCTGCAGGATTCATCAGAGTTTGTGAGGCAGGAGTCAAAATAAGAAAAATCCCCAAACAATCAGAAAATCAATACAGATCATCGTGCCTAGGCTTCGTGAATGAAAATTTGTGATTAATACAGAACATGTGTGTTGAATTCGTTATCCTGGTGGTCGTTTTCCAGAGGAGTATTGAAATCTTCCAGTATTTCTGCTTCTGTTGGTTTCACCACCTCCTCTTCACCTATAATGCATGTAAGATCATTTCATACTAGGGTCTCTCATGTGTTTTCCCTCTGTACCATGCTAAAGCCCCCAAGGCCAGTCTCCTGTAACTGCATGTTTGGTAGCTCCAGATGGACTGCCTGCTTTTCAAAGGCAATCTCAGTTGTGGAGTGGAATTGGAGAGGATAAAGCCCTGGTGGGTTTAAAGGCAGGAGGCAAATAAACACAAGCCTGATGGTTGCCCATTTCAAGACTTCTGGGCTGGAAGCTGCACTGGTGTGATGTGCCACAGTCAGCCCCAGGCCTCAGGAGGCAGAATGGAAGTTTTCTGTGGCACTGAGGGCACTGTATGCCTTGCAGCAAGAGGCCTTTTATTCTCTGCTGGCACAGACATTGCTAGGAATGTAGTAATTGGGGGTCAGAGGATGCTCACCTCCTCTGAAGCAGATCCTAGGTTTTCCTGGTTATGAAGCAACCTGCATACTGGGCCCACTGGCTGCTGTAAGTAAATGTGCTCTGCACTTAACAAAGCCAGATCTGGAAGCAACTCCTGCTACATTAGCTGTAAATGGATTTCTCGAGCCCAGACACCAGTCTGCCACTCAGACCAGCTTAGTGCCCTCCATGCCTCAGTCCTGGCAGGTTTTGAAGGTGTAGTTGCCTGTAGAGACCTGCCCCTTGCCCTAGTGCCCACCCTTCCCTCCCCACCACCCCAGTGTCAGTCCTGAAACTGGGCGGACTGTGGAAAGAGCATGCCCAAACTTTGGCTTTCCCTGACCAGCTCTGACCTCAAGAAACAGCATCTTTTCTACACAGCATCTCTGCCCTAACATGGCTCTTGGCAGAGCCACAGAAGTGTTCTTAGGATAAGGAGCTATTATTTAGAGCCAGGGACCGCAGACCCCATCCCAGTGACTCTACTGACAATAGTAGACTTTTTGTCTCTCCCTGTGACTTAGAGAGCACGGTCTGTCCCCCCAGCCCCAACATGCCCTCCACCCTCTCACAGCTACCCAAGTAATGTTTGGTGGGGAAGGAACCCATGCCCTAGAGGTGCTGTGGGATGATTGTTGATGGGGTGGGCAACCTTGGCTGACAGTTCTCCAGAGGCAGCACTGTACTGCCTCCATAGCCACCATAGGGTCAGCAGCTCTGTGGCAACTCACCTGCAGGATCCAAGCTCCTGGCTGCTGGCTCCCCTTCCACTGCTACTGGTTGCATCTCAGTGACCGGGTTGTGGATGGTCAGCATGGGCAGCTGTTCTTGGTACACTGGTTCAGGCAGTGCTGGCTCAGAGTGCACTGGTTCAGGCAGTGCTGGCTCAGAGTGCCCTGTTTCAGCCTCCTCCTGCAGCTCAGGCTGGGGGTCTGTGGTTGGTTCTGGGTCCAGGGTGGCCTTCACCTCTGGCTGACGGCCCCGTCCTCTTTTGGCTCCTCTGCCTCTCCTTTGCTGTTGGTTCTTATGCACCCTGCCAGGGGGTTTCACACGGGTGAAGACTTGGGAGTAGGGCAGAGGACTTTCCCTCCTGCCTCAAGGCTGCTTTGACAGGTCCTCTGTTATTATTGTGACCAAGTTCATCCCAGCAGAAGCATCTCCTGAGCCCGGCATGACAGCCGTCTGTGGCTGCACCAGTGGGCAAGAGCTTGTGCATCAAATTTTTCACCAGCCCCACACTTTTTTTGAGGTTTGCTTGCCAGCCAACCAGCCACCTACATAACCCACACCCCCCATTAATCACTGCCTCCCAGCTGCTGGCTGCAGGTCACCTTTCCCCGCTGCAGACTGATGGCTCTGTCCTTGGGTGAAGATGCAGAGGCTGGACTGCCATGCTTGGACTTAGGTTAAGTGCACCACAAAAACAATTCCAAACCAAAAGCAAGATTTACCTCAGAACCCACTGAGTTGAATCTTTCTCCAGGGCTTCTGCTTTTCTTTTTCTGAGCAGCTCCCGGTCCCTCAAGCGGTGCGTTATGATGACATCTGCAGGGATAAATTGAGTGCTAATATGATATTCTGACCAAGGGCACAATTTGATCCTTCCCTGCATCGTGCTAGAGCACTGATGCAAGGGGCCATGCTTTTTTTGATACAAAACTGCTTGGGTGCTATACTTCCAGCATAGCCTCAGTGGGGAGGATCTGATGACACAGCACACAAAGTTCCCAGGCTCCTAGCTGCAAATTGCTCTAAATTTCTATCTAGTTGCAATTTTCATCCTGGTGCTGCAGTCTTGGGGTGACCCTTGTCTAACCTAATCCCCTGCTATACTGGGGCCTGATGGAAGCATGGGGCAGGCTTCCAGTGCCATAAAGGGAAGTGTGAAATCCTTTGGTCAGACATCACTACAGACTGCAAGATAATTCTTCATGTTTGCTCCATGGTTACCCTTTTTCCCAGGCAGCTGCAACTGGCCGCTGCTGAAAATAAGATGCTTATCTAACTAACTAAGGAGACAGCTTTGGGTGGCAGAACAGCCAGTCCTACAACATAGGAGCAGCTCTGTGAGGGAGAGAGAGTGAGCTAGAGGCACAGCCTCCCCCTACACAGGTGCTCATGTGTATTAGGCTGAGACCCTGTAGACCAGATCAAGAGAGACCAGAGACCAAGACAGGGCTAGTACACTCTGCTGGAGGTGAGAAGACTGGTCCCAAAGACCACACAAACAGCCCCAAGCTGGATTGCAGAAGACCATGGCAAAGCTGAAGAAAGACTAACTGATATGAGAAAGCTCTAATGCTGGCTTTACCATTTGGTCAAGACGTGCAGGTTACCTACAGCCACCAGCAGAGAGGAGCACCCCCCTAGATCCCAGGCACCCTGTGACATGCCCTCCTAGGCCAAGCTGAGCTGTGCTCATTTCACTGACTACAAAGGGCTCCAAATGGCTTCCTAAGGCAAAGACCAGCCTGGTGAACAGTCTGAACTTCACCTCTCCATGTCTTTGCTCTAACAGACAGCATCTCTGATGATGTGGCAATAGGTCCTATGGTTTCTGATCCAGTCAGCTTGAGTTTTCTAGCTTGGACTCCAAGCTATAATAATAAACACCTGGCTCAAATCAGGTAGCACGAGACCAATCCCATGAGACAAAGGGCAACACCACTTCAGTGATACCTGGAGGGAGAGGAAATTCTTCCCACCTGTATACTGAAGAGATCACAAAAGAATTGATTTTTATAGTTTCAAAAAAACCCACACAATGAAAAAGCAAAACTGTGACCTGCTTCTTTTAGATGTAATCAGATCCATCTCTTTTCACAAAAAGCCTCAGCTCACACTAAAGTATTAGATCAAATCAGTGAAAATGGTCATTTTGTCATTCCCTTGATCAGATGGGAGAATTGGCAAGATGAAAAGGACTTCCGAGGCTGAGCGGGAACTATAGCTCTTTTATCCCAGGTGTCTGTTACATGCAAGAAAAACTGTAGTCCAGGACAGAAAAAAGCAAAACTGACAGCAGGAGCCAGCCTCTACCCAAAGTAGATCTCTACACAAGACACTTCTGATAATTAATTATAATCTTGCAGAAATTTAACTTGGAAAAGATTTATATTCATCTCTGTGCCATCAAAGCAGAGTCAACTTTAACATTACATCATACTGTCCAGGACCCTGTCCAGGGAAGTTGAGAGTAACTCAAAGAGAAATGGGAGGTTTTTCCACAACATAAAGCAGTATCAGAGGCAGTAGTGCTCAGCCAGCAGGAGATGGCTCTGCCATCCACATAGCAAAACTCAGGAAGCTGCCAGGGAAGATGAGGTTACAAGTTGCAGTAGCAACACCTGCAGAGGGCTTCAGTTCGGCTACTGAAGTCTGTAATCCCTTGCACATCCCATTTGCAGCCAAGGTAACTTTCTTTTCCCTTCAAAATGTATTGTGAGCTGTAAAAGCATTTTTAGCTGCTTGTAATCAGTCTCTGTCCCAGGCCATTCTAAGCAAACACCCCTCATTAATTTCTAACTGGTCCAAGAAAGGACTCCCACAAGAGCTCCAAAGCTGTCCGTCACCTGCCAGCACTAGGCAGGAAAGATCACAGTAAAACATACCCATCCTGATGAAAAATCGTTCACTAGAAGACACAAAGGCACAGAGATTAAATGAAAAGAAAAAAAAATCAAGCTCTAAGAACGATGAGACAGTATTGCCAGTCTGCAGACAATGTATTGATGCTGCCTGAGGGACTTAGAGTTGAAAAGCCTTTACATGTGTTTCTGCCTTTGTGATCTGAAACATAACATGTAAAAAGACACATATACTTGCAGTTAAATGTGTGTCCTCCACCCCCAAGCGTAAACTAGTAATTATTAGCTCCTATTTTCGAAACTGCTGGTGACAAAGATAATTCTCTCCTCTCTTAAGTTAGGAATGATCTCATCATTACCTGGCACAGCATACTCCTCACGGGCTGCAGAGCGTGGCAGGGAAGAATCCGGAGAAGGATGGTCTTTGCTTAAACTCTCCATTGCTCTTTGCAGTTTTAAACAGAAAGCAGCTTAGTTCCCTGGAGAAGGCATCTGGAGATACTGGTGCAGCATAATGAGAGCTTGAAAAAAATGCAGACTGCCCGCCCTAAACCTCTTATCTGTCCAGGCCACTGGGAGGGTAATAATATTCTTCTTATCAGAGTGCAAAGGTGTGAAAGTCTCTATCCAGGATCTACTCTGTGGATTGCAAAACATGTTAGTGCTTTTATACTGCAAATAAATCCACTTTGGATAGGAAATTTACACTCACTGCTGCTAAATTGTGACTCAAATGCTCTCCTTTGTGGTGGACAGATGTTGCATGGCAGGCCAGGATTCAGCATTGCCTCACTGCTGGTTTCCAGAATGAGATGCAAGGAGGTGTTGTTAGTCCTTGAGGACCCTTTGAGAGGTCTGAAATGGGATGTATGCTGTCTGAAAGGTGTTTGCATAGGACCCTGGCAGTGCTGGAAAGGGACATCCTCCAGCTCCCCTCACAGCAGGACTGTCTGCTGCATGAGGTCAGGATGGCTGTGTTGTCATATTCTTTGGAAACCCCTAAGGACAGAGACTGCCAAAGTCATGTTACCTGTCCAAGGGCTACACCACCTTCCTGGGAAATCCAGACAGAATAATAAATCCATACCCATCTGTGCATGTTGAGGACTTCCCAATGACTTGCTGGTCCAGTGGATTGAGGCTGTGAGCAAAGCACTTCACTCACGAAGCAGGGTGGCAGTGGGCAGCCCCAGTGGAAACAGTGAGAAGACCCAGCTGGTCCCTTGCTCCTACAGGATGATTTCCTTTAGCAGTTGTTCCTAGCTCCCTGTTGCCCATCTCAGCCCCAGGCCTGCACAGCATGCAGCCTCATGCAACCTCTGTAGAACCATCCGCAGGACCAGGACAGCTGCCAAGGAGAAGCTTCTGCTTGGTACAATAGCTTTGATGCCAAGAGGCTGTTCCCTGTTCTGTGGGAATGGCCAGGCCCTCAGGTCAGTGCATGTGAGATGAGGTAGCAGTCCTGGCCTCCCCTGAAAATTGCCTTCAAAGTTTCTCACATCAGGATAGCACAGAAAGGCTTAAGATTATACTGTGTATAACAACTCTGGTGGGCCACAGACACCTCTTTACCCAACTTCTAATGCACTCAGTGCCAGGGTATTTGGGATTCAGCTTCTAACAACACTTTTCTCCATGAGACACTCACCTACTTATGCACTGGTGAGGTACTTGTGCTCCTAATCCCTTTCCTCCCTGGCCCCCATGAACTCAAAGTGGTTCAAAAGTTGGTGGAAGAACCTGACAGTGTTCTTGTACCCCCAGGTCCTCTGGGAATTGCCTGCCTTTCACAGCAGGGGTGATCCCACCTCCTTGAACAGTCCCAAGACTTGCCCTGAAGCAGAGCAGCTCCTCAGGGAAGAGCCAATCTGGCCTGCCTCCAGTCTCTGCCAGTCTTTTTTATTTTTAATGAACATCATTTGCTCTCAGCAGGATTTCTCTCTGGAAACTCCAGGGCTTGAAACTTCATGCATGTGGGTGTCTTCAGATGTAACCCTGGGGGTCCATGGTCATCTCTGCTGCCTTTCTGCTTATCCCGAGTTACCACTTCGCTCCAGGGCTCCTGCCCTCTGTCCACTACAGATTACGTGGTACCTCCACAGAGGTGGGGTAGGTCTAACAGCCCCAAAAGAAGCAGCAGGGTGGTGGCAGCAGAGCAGATATGGGAACACTCTGATATGGGAGGGTGGGCCAGGAACATGGATGGCATAAAGAGATGTGAAGCTTCCAAGTCATTCAGAGTAGTTTCTTGTAGCTCAGTCATAAGGGAAGGCAGGGTGTCCCAAGCTGGTGGGGGTGTCCTTGTTCCAGCACTGTGTGAGGCTGCACAGCCCTGGGGCCACCCTGGTCATGCAGACATCGGAAAACTGTATCCTTCAGGATGCTTTACTCTGCAAAGGCATTGCTTGTGGAGAAGAGAAACATATCAGACCTTGAACACTGTGTTCCTTTCTGGGTCCCTCATTACAACAAAGATACAGAATCATAGATTATGCTGAGTTGGAAGGGACACGTCAGGATCATCAAGTCCAACTTTTGGCCCTGCACAGAACACCAGAAGAATCCCACTCTGGCAGGCCTAGTGCTGTGACCACTTTCCAGGGGAGCCAGTTCCAGTGCCCAATCACCCTCTGGGTGAAAAACCTTTTTATAATATCCAACCTAAACCTCTCCTGACTCAGCTTCACGTCATTTCCTCAAGTCCTGTCACTGATCATGAGAGTGAAGAGATCTGTACCTAGCCATCCTCTTCCCCTAATGAGGATGTTGAAAACCTCAGTGAAGTCTCCCCTCAGTCTCCTCTTCTCCAGGTTGAACAAACCAAGTGCCCTCAGCCACTCCTCATACAGCTTCCTCTCCAGACCCTTCATCATCCTCATGGCCCTCCTTTGGACACCCTCCAATGACTTAATATCTTTCTTGTATTGCAGTGCCCCAAACTGCACACAATATTCAAGGTGAGGCTGCTCCAGTGCAGAGCAGAGCGGGACAATCCCCTCCCTTGACCGGCTGGAGATGTGTTGCCTGATGCCCCCCAGGACAGGGTTGGCCCTCCTGGCTGCCAGGGCACTGCTGACTCACATTCAACTTGCCATCGACCAGGACACCCAGGTCCCTTTCCGCAGTGCTGCTCTCCAGCCTCTCATTCCTCAGTCTACACACACAACCAGGGTTTTCCTGTCCCAAGTGCAGAAATTGTGACACTGGAGTGTGTTCAAAGGAGAGCAATGAAGCTGGTAAAGGGTCTAGAAAACAAGTCCTGTGAGGTTAAGGGAGTTGTGGGTGTTTAGCTTGATGGAAAGGAACCTGAGGGGAGATCTTATTGCTCTGTACAGCTACCTGAAAGTAGATTTTAGACAGGTGGGGGTCCATCTCTTCTGCCAAATAACAAGTGATATAACAAGAGGAAATGACCCCATATTGCTCTGGGGGAGGTTTAGATTGGGTATCAGGAGAAAGTTCTTCCCTGAAAGGGCTGTTAAACACTGGAACAGGCTGTCCAGGGCAGTGGTGGACTCACCATCCCTAGAAGTATTTAAAAGACACGTAGATGTGGTGCTTAGGGACATGGTTTAGTGCTGTATATGACAGTGCTGGATTAGTGGTTGGATTTCATGATCTTAAGGGTCTTTTCCAACCTAAATGATTCTATGATTCTATATTTTGGGCTGCTTGCAGGTGATATGAAACATGGAAGAAAGGGTGGAAATCCCTGTGTGTTTCACTGCTCCACGGGAACTGGGTGCGTGCTCAGACCGTGGCTAACTCAGCTTCTCACACCCATCGTCTACTCAGTCACTCCAAAGCCTGGCGAGGTCTGATAAGTGACTCTTGACTCAGCAAAATATTGCAGATGATACTGCAGAGCTGGTGCTGTGAATGTTTCTCTGTTCTCCATCTTCTACCCTGAAGGGAGGACTTGTACAAGAAAGAGCCCACTGTGCCCCCAGAATTTTTAGAGGTGTTTAATGGAAAATAGATGGGTGTTAAAATCTTACAGAGCTTGTGCTTGCATCTCTTGGGAATGAACTCTCTGTAAGAGATTTGTCTCTTGTGTGTAACTTACTTTAAATCCCAAGGAAGTGATTTTAGTATCCCATGGGAAGGCTTTGAAAGTGGTTAAAAACATAGAGATTATAGACCTCACTGCCTAGTTTTGAGTTATCTATGCTCGGAAGAAGAAGTACTGAGAGGCAGAGTCTCACCCACAATGGCACTGGGCTCATTTTAGAGCCCAGCACTGCCTCCCTGTGCCTCCCTGTGCTCCACCAGCACCAGCAATGCAGTGATGTCTTCATCAGAGCTCCTGAGCGGATGTAGCCAAAGCTGCCTCCCCTCTGCTACAAATGAATTTGTGAAACTAGGTTAAACTTTCTGGCCAGTCTCGGTTGCGTGAACTGTTGCAGCTGGACACTTTACAGTGTGCCGGGTACTGCTTCCCTCCCCTTTCACTACACATTTCAGTTCATCTAGCCCTGGACCACCTCCACTGATGCATCCAGTTTTTGAACAAGGAAGAGTTCAACTGGGTGTTCAGCAACCCGAGCATCTCCAGCGTCACAGACTCCTCAGGTGTCACTGGACCTGCTTGGTAGGGGAACACCCACAACCTTGGGTACATCTCACCATTGCCAGTCTATGACATAGCTTTCAAAAGTTTTGTCCAAGGGACAACTGGACCTAGGACTGGATCCTGCCACTGGGCCTCTCTCCTGACACTGGTGGGACTGCTGTCACCGTAGACCTGACAACACCAGGCTTTGGATCTATGTATAAGTCAAAGGTCTTCATGACCCTCCAGTGTATCTCTCTTTCCCCTATCTGGCAATGCTAGTGCAAGGCAATATCCAGAGACCCAAATATCCCTCCCTGCAGTCATGGGTGCAGCCCTGAGCCCAGGGTTATCTGAGGGATCAACCTGGGCAGCTGGAGAAGCTACATCACTGCCACCCTAGCACAGTATCAGGGCATTTCTTCCACTTTTATCTGACAAACTTGCAGGCTTGTCCTTCACTCCCTGACTTGAGGCACATTTGGAGGCAACTTGCTTGGTTGCAACACACTTCTCTGGGAGCCCAACTACGAGTTGTTCTGTGTGACAAACTATGGTACTTGTGAAAACAGATAATCCCTTTCTCTTCCTGCCTTGATTGAAGCATCAAAAGATGGGAAACAGGTGGATAAATTGAACAGGCAAAACTGCATGCAGAAGTGCAAATCCACATTCATACCCTCTGGCACAGATCAGGGCATTGCAGGCATTTTACTGTCCATCAGGTGCCTCCTGAGCCTCACCTGACCTTGCCAGCCACAGATCTGCCAGTCTTCACAGTCAGGCTCTCTGCACCAGGCTGGTCTCGCACAGGCCCTGAGGTCTGTGGTGGCGTTAAACCATTCCCGCCATCCTCCCCTTGCTCTGCAGCTTGCTTTTGAGCCATGTGAAATAAACAGGCAAATCCACCAGTCCCTGGGGAGGACTGGTACCTCTGAATTCGTTGTGTGTAGAGTCAACACTGACACTGTCCTGTGGCTAGCCATGCTCTAACCTTGCAGGTCTGACCTATAAGTGTGTGCTTTAGTTCTGCATTTTCTGAATAAATACTCCACGTTGTGCTGGAGGCATGTGGTTTCCCTCTTCAGAAGAGCCTCTGGATTGTTTGTGTTGTTTTTTCCTAGCCTCTGCACATAAACAGATGTGGCTCTCAGGGAATACGAGATGGGCTGCAGCCACTCTGCCTGTGCAGCTTGAGCCATGGCATGGGGCTGAGATACTGGTGACCTCCAGCCACCCCAGGAGGAGAATGGGTCCCAGTCATGCACCATGCTAAGCTGGGCATAACCTTCCCCTCAGCCCTGGCAGAAAGCTGGGATAGAGCTGCCCAAATACATCCTGCCTGTGGCTGGGTTGGCAGCAGCAGGAGCAGAAAACCCCAGGACAGAAGTGAGCCGTACATTTGTGTTGTTCACTGTGGAAGTGTTTTGGGGGTCTAACCCCATCAAAGCCCTTCCCTGTGGTGCACAGGAGACACCAAGGTCTGCAGAGAAGACCTGGCAATGCAGAGAGCAGCACACAGCCAGAGCACCTTGCTACTGGAGGATGGAAAAGGGAAAAACAGGCTTGCAGAGCCTCAGGGCAAATGAGCAACTGGTGTAACAGCAGCAGCTATGGACAAGCTGTGGGCAAGCTGTGTCCCCTCCTCTGCACAAGCGGAAGGGGTCCAGGAAAGGAAAACAGAAACGATCAGCCTGAGCCAGGCTAGGACTTTTCAGCCTGGTAAAGAACTTTTTAAGGACAGCAGCTGCCTCTGGGACAGAAAATGGTGGATGCAATCCAACTGAGCATGGCTGTTTTATGCTCCTCAATACTATCTCCTGGTGCAGCATTAAATCTGTCAGCAATGGCTTTGTTGTGCATTATGGTGCTGCAGTGTCCCATCTGGTGGCTCCAGCAAAGTGCAGAACTGGGTGAGGGGATGAATTCCAGCTGATCAAGCACAGTAGCCACGACACTGGCACAGCTCCCAGACTTGCGGAATGGTCACTGACTTCAGGGAGCTCACTTGACCATATGATGCACCCCGTATTCTTACTCAGATGCCTGCAAATAAGAGGTGTATAGTATACAATTATAGTATAGTAGCAAGTCAGAGCAGCATGATCTCCTGTGGGTGAGGACAGGCCTATCCTTGGAGGGCATCAGTTCACATTGAAACACTCTTCAAAGCTGGTCTGTAATCTTAGCCAGTAATTCTGTAGAAATACATCTGGTGCAGGACTGAACTGAATTCAGGAGACAAGTCCTGGATTAGTCAGTGTCCTCTGATAGCTGCCACTATGAGCAAAGAGGGCCCCTTGCACACCCAAGGTGTACAACCTCATTACAAGTATTTTGTGTAAGGTGAGTTGTGGACCATGTGGTAGAAGTGGAAGATGAAAGAGCAGAGGGAGCCCCAGAGACTGCTGATGCACACTGACACTGTTACTCTGGTGGGACTGAGCCCTGCCACAGTCTCAAAGATGGTCCTGACACCAGGAGCAACCAAGACTTGAAATTTGTTCAGTTTGAAGGTTACTCTCAAGTGCTAGAGCAGAGATCTGGGGTCTCTTGCGTTCAGCTTCTCCACTCAAGCTCTTTCCATGCCCCCATGTATTATCTGAGCTGATTGGTATGTGAAAGGCTTTTGGATAAAAAGCTGAATAACATCTAATATGAGAAGTGCAGATGTTACTATTTTCAATTTACATCACCTCTGGAAGCAGTGAAGCAGTTTACTAGTGAGCCAGGGAGAAATCCTGTCTCATCCTGAAAAAACTTTACTTTCCCTTTGCGAAATTGCCTCCTACAGAAAAAAACCTGCACTTGTCCAGCACTGTCTTCACAAGGATTTGTGTTTTTTTTTGCTACTCCTCCATGGCTTTTCTCACAGTAATGTGGGTGAGGTAATGTGCAGAACACCCTGTTTTGTGATGTGGATTTGAAATTAATGTTTTGACTACACTTTTATCAGCCCTTTATGGGAACTGGCTTGTCGTGTTTTCCCTCAGCCTTGCACAAAAAAGTGCTGTTTAAATAAGATTGCACATGTTATTTTTTATTATTTACCATAGCTAATGTAAGTGTCCAATCAGCACAGAGCACACAGGATCAATTAATCACCTGTTTCTAGGTTCAGGAAAGCTATCAGAAAGCTCAGGTATTTTGACACTCCCCATCTTTCAGAATCCGGATGTCTTGCCTGGTTTTCCTAAAATAATACAGGAAAAAAGAGTAAGAGAGAAAAAAAATACTCCGCGAGTCACACTTTGGCTGCATTCCGTCAAATGGAATGGAACTGACTATTACAAAATAGGCTTACTCATTTTTCTGTCTAAAGAGTTGAGGTCAAGTCATCCTGGCTCACAGATGTCCCCTCCCAGGACCTGTGACACTTGTGGTGGGTCTCCAGCCCAGCCTGCTCACAGCAGGGCTGTCCCTAGTGTAAAGTTACAGTGGCCATGGCTCTGTCTGAGCCCTAACCACCACCCCACAAGAATGGAGATCCCCTCCTCACACCTCCATGGTGCACCACCCTCCTGGGGAAAAGGTTTTCCCTGTGTCAAATGTTCATCCTCTTGGACCTGTTGCTTGTGGCTGTTGCCCCACGTTGTATCACTTGCTACTACCAAGAAGAAGTGGCACCATCCCATTTGCAACTGCAGGCTGATGCTAGATAACCCCAGGCCTCCCCTTCCCCAGACCAGCTGGGTGCAGCTCCTCCAACTTCCTTGCAGCTTCACTTGACAAGCTGGTTATCCTTCCCCCCTTGCAGCCCAACACACGGCTTGTGTTATTTGCCATGCAAGTGCAGTCTGCCATGGATTTTCCCAGGCACGAATGACAGTATTTCACAACCACCCAGATAGCCTAAATCAGACCCAGGAGGTCTCTGCCAAGGGCATGAGCTTACATTTGCTCCACACAGAGCTGGCATTCATTCGCATAGGTATTCCCGTCGGTCCCACAGATAGGCAAGTACAGGAGGGGGCAGGCCTGCAGGTCAACCGTGTCTGCACACACCGGCTTGAAAGGAGAAACCACAGCACACATTTCAGTGCCAGCAGGACCCATCTCTTCCTCCCACAACGCCCAGGCAGGAGAAAGTGCCACTGGCAACCTGGTTCCTTCTGCCCCAAATGGGGCAGGGCATGCCCACACAGGGAGCAGAGGCCACCACAGCCCTCAGTGGGACTCGCAGCCTGGGATTTGATGTGGGTTTGGTGCTGGAACACCAGTACCCACGAGTCCGTGGATGATTGCTGGGAACAGTCTTTCTCCCAGGCACACCAGGCATATCCATCTCAAGCCACGAACAAGGAAAAAACCAGAAACCTCTTACCTTTCTCAGGCCACTCTCTTCATTCAGCTCTGCCCCTGAAATTGAGCAGAGACCCATGAGCATGGCACACCTGTGACTGATGGCAGAAGCACAAGTCATCGACTGAGGATCACATCCAAACCAAAGGGAAAGCAGCGTTGTGCAGAGCCCACTCAGGACCTGAATCAGCTGTGTGGGTTTCATGAGGGGGAATCAGTTTGCTGCATGCCAGCCCCACTCCCCCTGCCAGCAGCACAGTACACAGCTTCCATCCACAGCTGCACTGGCTGGGGCAAAGCTGGAAACGGCTAAACCATCTTCCAACAGCCCTCTCTCCCAGTCTCTGGACCAGAAGTTCCACAGAGCATCCAACACATCTCAGGAAATGTGAAACCAGGCAGTAATGTATGGGGCATGGAGTATCCTCAGAAGGCTGGTGATGCTGCAGAGCTGGACAATTGCAATACCTAAGGAGAGCAGCATTTGGTGGGTCTTTCTTTTTCAGTCAGGCAAAGTAGTAGCAACAGTTCACAGCCCATCTGTGCCCATCTAAGGACATGAAGGCTCTCACACAGGTTGGTGCAGGACCACCCCTACATTCACCTAGGTAGCAGTGGCTTTCCAGTACCTACAAACAGGTGCTTTCCACATGAATATGCTGAGCACATAGGGTTCTTGCAAAGACTTGCCAGTCTTCATGGAAGCAGGAACTACAGTAGCTGCCACTCCAGTGTATGTGCTGTCCTCCCAGGACCTGGTTCCTGTTCAAACTGTGAACTCCCCCTATCCCATCCCTCTCCCAGGTGCAATACAGCTGATGAACCAGCCTGCAATCCTTGCCCTGAACTGCTAATAAGAAAGGTACAGTGTGCTTGCTCCAGTCCTTCCTCACCATGCTGCCACTGTTTGTTTGCCCTCCTCACCTTCTCTCCAAACCACAATTTCTGGATCTTTCTTCCCTGTCACCCACTTTTGGTCCTTCTGTCATTCCCTCAAGCAGCAGAGCAGACTTACCGCTGGCAGCAACCAGAGTCACCACTGCCACCACCACCACCACCAGGTCCCTCACAGCCATGGCTGGTTCAGGCAGACATGCTCGGGCACCTTGCTCTGGGTGCCTTTATAAGGGAGGGCACCAGCTTATCTCAGGAGTGCTGGGAAAAGCAGCATTTTGATCTGTGCTGGTAGCAGCTGAACTGTACACCCAGAGGAATGGATTGCTTGGGCACTCTCGTGCAACTGATAAGCTTCCCCTGTGCCACTTTCCAGCTTCAGGTGATAGCACTGGAGGCTGCTTTACAATCCCTTTGCACAGTTGTCAGAGTTGGGCAAGGCTGCTCTTCTCCACTTACCCCAGCCACCTTACTTCTGAGTGTGTCTTGCCCAAACCATCCCTTTGCAGCTGCTATTCTTCATACATGACAGGTATCTCTGTTTGAGTGGTGAGACTGCACATAGAAAAGCCTGGAAATTCAGGCTGATTTGAGTGGCGGCACTGTGGCCTGAGCATTATCCCATGAGACCCAGCCAGGTGGATACTCAGTGGCCTGATGCACTGGGCAGGACCCCAGACACAACAGGAGGCCTGCCATCACGATGCAGCAAGCCCACCTAGGTACTGGGTGGGATGGGACAGGCTGGGGGTACAGAGGGGCTGGAGGGAACAAAATTTGGCTGAGTGGGAGCAGGGAGCTGCAAGTGCAGTCACTGCCTGTGCTTAGGGCAGCCACATAGTCAAAAGTGCTATGATACCTCACCACCTTGGTTGCAGCTGAGATTGACAGAGCAAAATTATTCAGTGTGTTGGAAGGGAGCTGTGTGCATCGGTACCCAGATCAGATACACAGAGGTGGCACACAGAGCACAGAGGGGACAGAGAGGCTGGAGAAGATCCTCAGTGGTAAGAGACACAGTCTTTTCAACACACATCACCACTCAAGAAGAGCCCAGCTTCTTTGCCTCCCAGGCTGGATGCTTGATGCCAGTCCTTCTGTGTGAGCATCCTTATCATCTCTTTCTCAGAAACTGAATTTTCCACATCTGTCCCAATCTTCCTTTCATGAAACAAAATCAGTTGGTGAAGGGTGAAGGATGGGAAAGTGGACCACTGGGCATAAAGTCAGTGTTGAGTAAAAAACTCCCTTGGGATAGACTTGCTGAGATGAGGTCTGGGCCAGAAGGGACAAAGGGTCTCTCCTTCCCCATGGGAGCAGGTAGGATGTGCCATGTGTGCAAAGGGTGGACATGGGGTAGGTGTCCTACAGAAACCACCAGCAGGCTTGGAGAGCTCCAGGCACACAGACACCAAATATTTGAATTTGCTGAGGATCTGACTATGACTGTGCTTAGGACATCTCTTCCCTACAGGAAGATACAGGCTGGCCTTGTCTGTCTGAGACAAAAGGGAACAGCTTGGTGAGCATCTCCCATAGCTAGAGAGGTGTGGGCCCTGCATGAGGCTGCTCATGTCCTTGCCACTGGGAGGCCCTTCCATATGCAACCCAGTAGGGCTGTGACCATGTTTTGGGAAGGGAGAAGGTGACCAGTTCAGGGTTCCTCTTGCAGAACCATTCCTCCACTCTACCGAGGCAGCTGTGCACATGTTTTGTATTCCCTCTTCATGGAGTTTACACAGTTCAATAACCTTTGGCTTTTATTATTATTCCACTTTGGAAATCCCTCAACTAAAGTAAATATTTAACTGCATTAGCAGTTTTTCCTGAGGCACATGGGGTCCTGTTGGGCTTGTTTAGTCTAGTACAAGGGAGGCCAAGGGGGATCTGATAGCAGCCTACAACAGCTGAAAGGGAAGTCGATGGAGCCAATCTCTTCTTGGTAGTGCCAGATGATAGAATAAAATGCAATTCAGCCCTGAGATATTCAGGTGAGGAGTCAGGAAAGAAACCTTACCCCAGAGGGTGAACAACCCAAACCAGCAGGGAGGTGGGAGATCTCCATCCTCTATGGGCCATGTATAAAGCCACAGATGCCCTGACCAAACCCTGCTGTGCACAAGGCTTGGAGGGTGAGCCCTGAAGGGCCCTGCCACCAGCATGCTGGGCCAATGGCACAAGCAGATGTCACTCTCCAGCACACATGCATGTATTTCCTTCGATTCCCATCTTGCAAATCTGGTCCTAGCCAACACTCAGCTACACGGTCAACATGGAACCACCTCCTACAAGCTGCTCCCACACCAACACACAGCACAGCCCTGGATGAGGGCTATCATGGGCCTTTACAGTCTTCTTCAAAATCTTTACTACCAAAACCCATACCCAGTTGCTGATAGTAATGCCTCTGGTGCTGCTGCTGCAAAGAACCCTGCTGTGGCTCCAGTCCTGAGCAAGGCCTGGTTCTTTGGATCATGCCAGGAGCAACACAGAGCAACATGTTGGGGCTGTGCTGCTGAAACATATTGTGTGCTCCAGATCACTCTCCTTGGATGGAGGGCAGCAGGAAATGTCTGTGTGCTCTCTGTGCTGGAGAGCAGCAGTGCTGTGGAAAAGCTGTTGCCTGATATGAGGCTTGATCTTCCTCCACCTCGTTCCTCAGTGCTATTGAAATGCCACTGCCTTCACAGAGCAAATTAAAATGACACGCTAAGAGATGACAAAGGGGAATCACCCCTTGCAAACTGGTTTTGTCTTTTCTGGCTTTTCTTTCTGTTGCAAGCACAAGCTTGAAACCCCTAACAAAAGTCCTGCCTCCTGTCCCTCTCGAAGAAGAGGTGGGGGAATTCTTCTTTGGGTAAGACAGGAGGTTTTCTGGTGGCTGCTTGCCCTCACATTGGCCATGTGGCTTCAGCTGGCTCTGCGACATCCTCCCTGCACTTTTACCAGCAAGATGCGTACAAGGGGCAGGTATGAAGGTCCCAGTCTTGTCACCAGCAAGGCAGATAAACTGTGCTGCAGACAGTGGCAACAAGGAAAGAGACTCCTACTTCCACAACCAATCTCATCCTTGTTTGCTTGTGGCACTGCCCCTGCCTTTGTGCTTGTTCCCTTGGCACCCACCAGTCCATATCCACGCACTGACCTGGGATCGCTTGTCACATCGTGAGCCCTTATCACACCTTTCCCCTCCCAGGAGACTGCAGCTCCGTTTGCCGGCTTTCCATCTGAGTGGGCACAGATGGCAGGAGTCCAAATTGGATTGCATCACATCACTCACGTCTGCGTGGTGGCCTTATCGGTGGTATGGCCTTGGTGTCGTCACCCCCCCACCCAGCACCTGCCGTTTCCTTGCTGTTATCTGTTCTCTTTCCTGGATTTCACGGCTGTTTTTGGCCTTCCCACTTGCTGCACCCACACTGATATTTTAACTCCTGTTCTGCTGCTCCTCCCAGGCCTTTGGCATACCAGCAGACACCAGGATCATACAAATGTTGCAGTACCCTGAGAGCAGATGCTGCCTTGCTTGCAAAGCCCAAGCCCAGAGCCCACTATCTACCCTCCCGCTGCACAAAGGGGCAAGGCAAAAAGAGGAAGGCAAGTACCATGCTCATTTTCATCCCTAGTTTACTCCCTGCTTCCAGATGGTTTTTATAGAGAGGATAATAGTTGCTGTTCTGTCCCTCTGATCACTCTGATGTCTCCCCACAAGCAAGAAGGACCAATTTGTTCTCCTTTGCACACAAAAAAACCCCCAAAACAACCAACCAACCCAAAAATGAATCAACACTAGAGATGCAAGTGACCAGAGGTTTTCCGTTGGCTATACAGTGGAGCCAAACCCTCACATCTGAGATCACCCTCTGTAACTAGGGCAGGGATCAGCCATCACCACATCCCAGCAGTTTTGCCAGACTTTCTAGATTCAAACCACACCTTCAACCACCTCACTCCTCTCTTTATTGCTGTGAGTAAATACTCCCATGTGCCAGGCAATAAGAAAGGCTCGTTATTTCTCTGATGATAGAAAGATTTCCCTGTGATACTGTCAGCTGTGAGAACACAAGACAGGGTGACTACGTGGACTGATCCTGCCTGCTGACACTTTCACTGGATAAGGTCAGGGCCAAGGTGGCATCAATCTGGAGATTAGAGCTCCTGCCAAGCCAGGCTGTACACTGGACCTCAGAAGTGCAACAGTTTAGGGGGAGCATCGATTGCACACCTTCTTCTCCTGCTTTTACTGCTGATGAAGTTTCTGTAGCTGGGCAGAAGTTGCTGCAGCTTGTCCTGATCCAAGGGCACCTGCCTCTCCTCTCTCTTGTGTTTACCTCTGCCTGTTTGGACCTCTGTACTGCAAGGCATGCTCTAAATTCATCTGTGGTCTGCAAATGCCCTGCAGTTTTTTGGCAGCTTAAGGATGGTGTTGACTCGCTTTTTCTCACATGCTCACACAAGAGGGTTGGGTGACCAAATCCTCAGAGGAGCAGATAAAACAGCAGAAAACCACAGGTTTACTTTTTGCCCAGGAATTGCTTGGCACAGTGTACACCAAGCCACAGTGCTGGTGCCAGGGAGGGGATGAGGCTGTGTGCCTGGGATGGGTGGGCAGAGCTCCCTTGCTGCTGTGGGACTGTGCCCTCCTGCTCTGAGCTGACACAGATAACCTGGATGCTGGCAGCAGCAGTAGGTATATCGGCTGTTCCCAGCACACTGATGTTCAGTCTTGTTTATCTGGGAACTCACACCCACTGTAATTTGCAAAAAAAAAAAATCAGGTTTCTGAGTCTCTTTTTCCCTGGAGCTGGTTTCTGAATGAACAAACCTGTAGTGGGCCTCAGTCTTTTATACCTTCTGAGAACAGTATTGCTAATTGCATTTTGTGTAGGACTGGATACTGTCACAATCCTGCATTTAGCACCACACTGGAGAAAAACAGGTAGCACGTAATGCCAGCTCTCCCCTTCAAAGTGACAGCAGCTCTTGGTGAGTTTTTGTGAAGGAGGTCCCTTGACTTTCGCAGGAAAGGCGTGGTCTTCCCAGTCTGCCAGTTGCTAAAGGACCTAAAGGTACCTCAGGGTGAATTGATGTGAAAAGGCACATGATGTAAGAGAGTCAGGGAAGTCTTTCTGTTTCTCCTTACATTTTGAGGGAATGTTGTTTGGTGATGCTGCATTTGCATGGATCTTTGGGAACAGTGTCACCCAGTCATGC